ACTGACTTACACAAGGATGAACCAGCATTTGGTCATTCTGTCCCCAATAAAGTCGCTAGCTGAAACAACTGGTAAAATCATCAAAGATAAAACTCAATGAAGTCGCCAACAAACGTGTTTTATCCCACCAAAAGGGAAAGGTAAACATCGAGTAAAATTGAAGGGTGAAATCACGGTCTTGCAACCATAGAGATCGGGTAAGGAAGTCAGTTACACGAGGGGAAGGTATTAACACCCCACACTTCTTTGGTACTCCACAGGATCCACTTATGTTTGTTCTAATCTAAGGGTATATAAAATATATGTCTAAAGCTTAAGAGATAAAAAGAAAAGGTGCAAAGGGGGAATGAATGCAAAAGAGAAAACATGGGGAAAAGAAGGAAATATTACAAAGGTCGCTCGGCTGAGCCCCGTGACCAAATGCCTACATATCCCTTTTAAGGAATCAGAGTGTTGTAGTTCAGCTCAAAAGTTTCCATTTGTTTTGTGTTTTTTAATAAACAATATTAATTTCACCTTTTGTCGCAACTCGACGTTTCAAGACTTACGCGTCAGCACAGAAGTGAATTAACATGTTCTTTTGAAAAGCTTGAAAGAAAATCTTAAAGGAAAAAATAGTTTGTGTTGGTTGGTGTTTTTATTGTAGATAATAGCTAGTTGATCTCAAGAGAGATATTAGCCACTTCTCCACTTATCCATGAAAGGAGTCTGTGAGACATGAACCACACCAAGGCCTAGAATTGAAGAATAATGAGATCGAGAAGAAACCCACTTATCGTTTCCCATACTCAAAAAAGGTATGATTCTCATCAGTAATTTTTAAGTGTTCTAAAGTTTGAAAGAAAAAGAAGTTTTGTTTTAATGAGATGCAAAAGAAGAAATAAAAGTCCAAAGGGAGACTAGAAAAATAGCCCTAAAGTTGTCATGCATTGTTGATCCTATAATTGAGGATATAATATGGGAACTTCTACCTAATATGGGCATACATGCATATAAACCTAAGGTTTATTCAATTCAAACTTAGAAAAGAGTGAATTGAAGATCCTATGGGGAGCATACGAGAGGAGAATCTAATTGTTGATCCTATAATTGAAGATCCTTTCTAACTTTTGTTACCAACCACTTTTATGTCTCTGTCTGTTATCCATTAATTCTCCACCACAAATTACATCTACACCATTCCACTTTCTTTCACTTCTTTATCTGTAAAACAAATTTAATTAAACATAAGCAAGAAAGAAAAGAAACATAAGGAAAGAAAGAAAGAAAATAAGAGAAGGAAGAAAAGGATAAAATAAGAAGAAGAAGAAGAAGAAGAAAGTTCATTGAGAATCACCATCAGTTCATCTCTTCTTCTTCATAACCTTTATCTCCTCAAGGTATCTTCTAGTTAAAATCTTATTAGAAAAAACTTGGGTTTAGTATGTTGTTGCTAGGAATAAAATGATAGATAATATTTCATGATCTTGTGATGTTGTGATTGATACCATGGATTGTGTGTGTTTGTGTTGGAATCATGATGATATGCTTGTTATTGTTGATTCTTGATGACATACTTGTTAATTCCATGAATTCATGTTGATATGTGTTTGACATGATTAAATTGATGAGAATGGATATTGTATAGGTTAGAACTAAATTTGTGAAAGGGATGAATGGTTAAAGGGAATGGTGTGGTTGATTAGGAAGGAATGGTACTAAATCCAAAATTTTAGTAATAGTGGATGGTTTAATCGATTACCCTCCACATGCTAATGGATTATCCCTCAAGAAAGGGGGATAATCTACTATCCCTTGAATTGGTTGTGAAATTTAGTAACAGATGTTGTAGTAATTGATTATCATTCAATCACCCTCCAAGAGTTAATCAATAAATCTTTTTAATTCTTTGAAAACTGAAAATATTTCCACTAGTGAGAATCCTCCCCATAATAGTATAAGTACCTTACCACTAGGCCAAATCTATTGTTGTTGAATTCTTATACAATATTTAATTTGTGTATAATATGAAATTTGCTACTACTCTTGTGAACTAAGTGACAATAGTATGAGAATTGCGATGGAATGAACAATAATCGAACAAATTCCATGAAAATGAATATGCTTTAACCTAGAATTCCGATTAGATTAAACCGATGGAAATTTAGTTTCGTAATTCTGTTTTGGACATGGCCCGAAGTGTTAGGAAGATAACATAGAGAACTATAATATAGGGAGATGTTTCTATGAGTTATTCCACTAAAACTTTCCCTGTGAGTCTGGTTAACCCCACCATAGGACGATCAGACAAATGCTTATCTCTATTGCATGAAAGTGGAACAAGTAAGATTGAAAACAGGTTCTATGATGGCCTTTCCTAGGGTTTATTGTGACATGTTATTCTATCATGTGTACTTTATGTATGTCTATGAATCATATTATGAATCAATATGCTTTATATGGAACATGTGGTAATAATATGTATCAATATACTATGAACTATATTATGAATTGTTGTTTGTGTTGATTGTGTAATAAAATGATTAAAATCTTATGATGATGAGTAAGGTAACCTAGTAGTATAACTAGGTGAATGAACTAGACAGATGACTTAGGTTATTAAATGAATTAAGTGGTGATTCTTGGATGCAATGGTACCTCCGTGTGTATCACAGACGAGTATTTTCTTGAATAATGAATCAATATGCTTTTTATAGAACATGTGGTAATAATATGAGAATAGGTGAATATGATTTATCACCTATTATTGATAAGATAACATGAGAACTGGTGAATATGATGACTTCATGATTGATGAGAGCAATCATAATGTATGTTGATCATAATAACATTTTCAGAGTTTTCCCTTATTTGTGCACATCCCATTTGAGACTCTTATGTAAAACAGAAAATTAGGATAATGGTTCCAATGATTTGTGCCTCTAGAATGGGTTTGAGTCCCTAATAAGTGTTTTAGAGTCCCATAAAGGAGAGGTGGAGACTAAAGTGGGTTTGAGTCCCATATGAGTGACAGTTCTGTTAGAACATAGTTTGGTTCTACATCTTGTAGGAGTTTTCATGATAACAAACACGTGATATATATAAAGAACAAAATGCTCTCTAATAATGTTTTTATATGCTGGGAAATTCTGATGTAAGATGCATAAAAGATGATCAAGTTTAATTTTTGAAGCTCTGTTTTGACACATCATACTTAGAAGTAAATTCGTGTGACACGCTTAAACGAAGAAGTTCTAATGTTACAATTTCCGAATGCACCAATGCTGCAAACAAAAACTATGATATTCTGATATGTATAGCTCTGGAAAGAACTAAAGAAGTCTCAACGGAAACATTCATCTTCTGATATGACCCCAAGAAAGCATGTTATGAAGCGTTACAATTTATTCATTACATATCAAAAGTAACGGCTGAATCAAGACATGATCTCTACTTTTGGAAAGAATATTAACTACACTTTATCCGCCTTCCAAAAGCATCTTCTCATGTCTCTCATGCATCGCCTATATAAAGAAGACTTGAAGGAGAAATCACATACAACATCACTACGCACTGAAAAAGAGAAATCTCATTACCTTTCTATCTTGTGCTTTTCAATTGTGTAATACATCACTGTAGTGATATTGTTTTATCTAGAAAACATCTTTGTACACACGGTTAGTTATGTTATTATGTAATACCTTGAAAAGGTCGAGTTGTGGTTTAAATTCAAGAAGACTTTGACAATTTTCATCGTATCTGTATAAGCAAGTTTGATTATTGGATCAAGACCTCATTTGAGAGAGGAGAAATTACCTTGGCGGGTGGACTGGAGTATTTTGAGTTCAAATGAACCAGGATAACCAAAGTGTCTATTGTTTTAAATTAAAAAACCCCAATTCAAATCCCCTTTCTTGTGTTTTTCCATTCTTGAAGTTCTTGAAGTTGATTCGATTCCTATAGAGAACATGATATCACCATGAAAGTCGAACCATTCGAACATCCATGACCCGAGGCTTTCCCTAGGCATATGTCTGTTTCGGGAAGAGTTGTTTCGTGATTTATTGAGTTATGAGAACTCAAGAGACATGTTTCTATACAATGTGAATATCCCTTAGAAGTTTAAGTATTAATTGCATTGTGTGAGTGATACACAAGTAATGAAAGATGAAGACTTGAGTTAGAAATCAGTAATAGATCCCTTTAGATCTGAGTAGACCCATAAGATAGGGGAACTCACTGAGATTATTATCTCACCCCACTATTATTTTTATTATTCAGGTGTGTATTTACAAATTAAAGATAATAAGAAGTTATCTAATGATGTTTCGAAGGATTTTGATTATCGTGATCTCCGCTATGGGATTTGTACAATGGAAAATATTGTACTTGGATCTTAGTTTTTATTTAGGCACTGTTGTATGTCATCTACTATAAGTTGTATTTTGGGGATATGTGTATAACGATGTCGTTAGGCACTTGTGTTGTATCAACACCAAATTAAAATCTCGTATAATGTATTTTTTAGATGTATCTAATATGGGGTGTTATAGTCATGGTACCTGCCAATAATTCAAAGTTCCTAGAGACTGTTACGTAATGTCAAGAACATGTTATGGAAAATTTTTCTGTGTAGGATATTCTTTAAACTGTAAGAAAATTGATTCCTTGTATCTATATTTTTTCTGTGAGCCAAGAAACCTTACGTTAGGACTTAAAATTGATGGAAGGAAACCCTTTGATCATGTCAATACTGGTCCATATATTTTTTTAAATGAACTATAAGTTTTTAAATTATTTTTGTACTTGCAAAATATATATAGTATATTAGATATTCCAAATCCATGCAACAAAAAATAAAATGCTAAATATTTGAGAAAAGTGCAAAGAGATTAGTACCCATCAATTCGACAACTTGAATTTATAAAATTAAATTATTAATGTTGAACTAGAACATTAAGTGTATAGATAATCTCACAACTTATTTTATAAATATGCAATACATATAACCCATCCACACATTAAACATAATTAGGTGGAGGGGGGGTTTCAGGGTTATGAATGGGACTTGGACCGGATGGAACATCATGTAAAATACGAACAAATTTACCAGGTGGAAATGAATGATGGCGACTTCGATAATAACCTCCTAGGATTTCTTTTGTTTTGTAATAATTATTATCAGCCAAAACTTTCGAGCCTTGTTTTCTAAATTGATCAACATTTTCAAGTAGCATGACATCACCATTTGATTCAAGTGTTGTGGAGGGAAAGTGAGTTGCACTTGATTCTCCATTATTACCCAACAATATCAATAGACCAACATTGATCAAGAGAAGGTAGGAGAGAATTTTGTGGAACCTAATCATTTGTATTAACGTAACTAGAATACGGTGTGGACTTTGTAATACTTTAAATTAGAGATAGATATCTATATATATATAGAGAGAGAGAGACACACACACACATATATATATATATATAAATTATATATATATATATATATATATATATATATATATATATATATATATATATATATATATATATATATATATATATATATATAATGTATCTAGTTAAAACTGATATCTTTTATAAAAAATAAAAATTATCAATATCAAACATTTGATTTAATTAACGTTTAAGAACTAATAATTACATATAAAGAACACTTTATTGAATATTTTCTATGATGCCTAATATTTAGAAGTTTCATAGAGATATAATATGTCTATATATATAATATGTATATAAATATGTCTATATATATATATATATATATATATATATATATATATATATATATATATATATATATATATATATATATATATATATATATATATATATATATATATATATATATATATATATATATATATATATATATATATATATATATATAGAGAGAGAGAGAGAGAGAGAGAGAATCCGGTAAAAACTAATATCTTTTATAAGAAATGAGAACTATCAATATCAAACATTTGATTTAATTAACGTTTAAGAACTAATAATTACATATAATTATATATATATATATATATATATATATATATATATATATATATATATATATATATATATATATATATATATATATATATATATATATATATATATATATATATATACCTTGAGAAATCAAATTGTGGTTTAGTCTCAACAAGATATTGACGGTAGTATTTGTGATTGTGAAATCAAAGTTTTTATTAGTGGATTAATACCTCGTTTGAGAGAGGCGAAATCCCTTGGCCGGTGGACTGAAGTAGTTTGAGTTCAAACGAACCAGGATAACCAAACATGTCATACTGTTTTAATTTTTGAAAACACCAATTCAAATCCTCTTCCTTCTGTTTTTCTATCCTTCAATTAGTATTAGAGCTCATGGTTCTGGGTGCTATCACTTAACCCCAATTCAATATTTTTAATCAAGTCAAAATATAAGTGATAAAAAAATAAAATCCTACACTTTAGACATGTTTATTTTAGTAAAAAAAATAATATCAAAAGTCTCTAACAATTAAAAAAATATAGAATATGGTTATTTTTTTCAATAAATGTAAAGCATCAAGAGAAAATGAAAAAAAAAAAGGTGAACAAGAACATGGAAAAGTTAAAAATTGATATGTTAAATATAAAATTAAAAATAACATATGAAAATAATATTCTTAAGATTCTATCTCTATGAAACTTTTAAATATTATGCAT